ACCGACTTTTCTCTCTCTCTCTCTCTCTGCGCACTTGTCTTGCTTGCGTGCCTTGGCTTTGGCTGGGACCTTGACCTAGGGAACTTTGCCTCTTGTTTTTGCTTCTTGTGACATGCCATGCAGAAATACTTTTTTCCAGGAGGGTTAGCCATGCTTGACGCACGGGGCCAAAATGTTCTCGACTGAAGAGCCATTCCGGAAGGGCAGCGAGAAACTGGGATGGTGCTTGCTTCTGCTGCCTCGGTCTTCCTAGCAATGACGGGCAGCAGTTAGTGATGCTTCGCAGCTAGCTAGCTTGAGCTAGCTGTCCGTACAAATTCACAATGCTCAGCTCAGGCGGCGTCAACTTTCAAGTACGCGAGGAATGACTGCTCGGCCGAGACGTAGCGGGCAGCTTGTCATGAACCCAAGGTGCCGCGAGATGACGATGCGCTGCGCAGCCTTTATTGTGTCGAGGGCAGCTCCGTGACCTGCAAGGATGGTGGCACGTCTACCACTCCACGATGCTCATTGCGTATCTTGCTGTCCCCCTCTCGCACAGATGTGTTCGCGTCTGAGGTGTGTGTGCAGGTAAGGCACTGGGGTCTGTTGTCAGCAGCAGTCAGATATGTCTGGAAGGAGAAGAGGAATACTCTTACGCCCCAGGAACGGCTTCCGCTGCATGATGCAAGAATCGGGGAGCTTCCCCTCTCATCACCGCCCTTCTGACCGACTTTGGCAGGCCGAGGGAGAAGCGCGGGATGTTGGACCTTTCTCTCATCTCAGCCAGTGCAGCGTGGGAGGGAGAAAAATCCAAATCGGCCGGGATTTCGGGGGTCCCTGCGTAGGTCTCCGGGGGGGGGGGGGAGGGGAGAGAAGCGAGAGAAGTAGAACTGGGGAGTGAAGACGACGTCCTTGGACCAGGCTCATGGAAGCTACTTAGACGCTAGGTAACTAGCCGGCTAGCGTAGTTCGTCGAGCATGGCAAGGTACAGAGGGGAGGTAGACGGTAGCGTGCGGTGTCCCGTAACTGTTCAGAGAATAGTGCGGTGGTAGTGTCCAACGTTCGAGTCCATAGATCCCCGTCGAAGACTTTTCATCCCAAAGTGCCCGCCTGCCCGGTGCGGGTAGGATCCAGCGCGGCGTGGGCGATGCTGGGCAGATCGCCATTGTTGTTGCACATCCATTCGGCTCGGCGTCAGTCTCTTGAATAATATTGCATATCTGTATATCCGTACGGAGTACGAATATTGAGCGGAGTATAGGGTATCCAGGTGATGTATAGTATCCGCAGGCAATGGAGCACCTGGTCACATCCATATCTTGTCAGGACCCGGAGCGTCCGTCGGTTCTGGTTCGCTTCAGTGTATACCCAGATGCGCAGATTGTAGCCCCCGGAATCCAGGTGTTTAGCTAAATCCGCACTCCGTGTGTGGCGGTTTAGCCTTTAGGAAAGTCGATTTGCAAGCCCTTGGGCTAATATCAAATCGGCAAGCCGGATAGTGAAGAATGGGGGCCAGTTGGGTTAGCGCAACGGCGGGCCAAATGAATGTCTATGATTGGAATCCATCTGATCAACGGTGACGTTTGGAATGCCCGTCTAGGGCGGGAATAAAGCTGTACTGATTCGCATGAGTGGCCAAGAAAGGAAGACAGGGAAACTTTGAGCTACAACTCTGCGCCGTTATCTCTTGCAGCAGCGGTTCTGGCATCTGTACACCTGACGAGAAGGAGAGCACTCGAGCGCGTGATTGCAGTTCAGGAAAGGTGGGCCTGGGGTTCGAGATGAGATACCCAACCCAGATGTTTGTTTGTGTGGGTGTATGTGTCTGCGTGTTCGAGGTGAACTAGAGGCTGGTCAGTCGATGACTCGTAGTGCAGGTTCTCCCACCGGCGGGATCCGATGGAACACCTGTCGGTGACGGATGCGCGATATTCTACTATTCCGTTGCTTCACAGCGGTGTCCAGGGTGAATGAAGGTTGGGCTGAAAAGAAGAGAAAGAAGCGATCTGTACGGAGTACGTAGGGTCGGTCCATGGCAGCCCACGACGATGTTTGAGTTATCTAGACGTGACTAAGGTACCAACTCATTTTGACAGTACGTATACGGAATACTGAGTAATTACTGCCGCGACTTGGGTTGGACAACATTAAACCACAAGGGGAAAGGACGACGAAACCAGAGCTAGGCAAGATTCAAGAAGAAACAATAGCGGAGCTGGACCAGGAGATGGGTAGCAGCCGGTACGGCAGATGCGGAATGATGTAAGTCACGGCCCTCTTCTTTTGGGCGTACCGGTACATGAGCCGTGGTTCCTGACCAAGTTCCTCCGCCTAGCGCACCCTGAGGCTTGCGCACCCATCGGCATGTTTCTGCGAGTTGCAGGGGAGACACGAACGGTGCCAGGCACTTGGAGTGCACATTCCAAGGGCATGGTGCTCAATTTACTCTAGGCTCTGGCAATCTACGCAGTAGTGTGCCAGTAGCTACTCTCAAGTCTGGACGGATACGGTTCATCGTGACCCAACTCACCTGAATGTCCTGAACAGAAGTGGGCTGCTTTAGACCTCGCTGTCGAGACATGTCTCCTTCCCCCGGACATGTCTCTACCTTATCCATACAGATACTTCAAAGCATTAGCACGGTAGGTAGCGTAGTGCCCACCGGCAGCACGATGCTACTTCCGAGGCGAGATCCGGCTTGCTGCCGATGGCGACAACCCTCCGGTGCTTTAGAGTTCGGTAGGCAGCGTATCGTTCGGAATCTGGGGCAAGCCGCAACGCGGGAAAGGGGAGGCTGGAGCTTGGAAGAACGGTGTGTATCTGGAACTTGTGTGCCAGACTCTCAGCAGAGTCTAATTGCAAGGAACTCAACTTGTGTATCGTACTTGATTGACCTCGCTCTCGATTGGATGTCATGCGTTCTTGGACCCTGACCTTCCGACGGCTTGGGCAGACAGGCGACATACTCCGCTCCTGGGCCGAGCTTTAGGAGGGGAGGGGACGGCTCAGGTGGTGTCGACGAGCGTTTGTGTCCTTTCTTGCGCAAGATGGATAATGAGGAGCTGCTAGCCGTGGGTAAGGAAGTCTATTTGATGACGGAATTTCCTTGCGAGGGACCACTAGGCAAACATGCAGGCATCACGGCATAGGACAAGCTGGGATGAAGGTGGTAATTGGAATTGGGGGCGGGAGGTAAGGGAACGGACGACATTCATCGCTTCATTGTGCAAAGCACGAATCGAATCGCAGCAGCGTGATAGTAATGAGATAATCGAGACTCAAGGTTGAGCCAAAGCCTGAGCATGAGCCTGGCTGTTGAGTCTTGACAGTCGGTCAAGTGCCGCACCGTTTACTCATCGTCGATGCCAACCAAAATTGGCTTTTCATCTTTTCATTTCGTTTCTTCCTCTGCTTCTCTCCCTTTCGTTCTCTGTCTAGTTCCCTTCTTCCCCGCTCATTAATCACATCACTCTCATCTCTTTTTTCCACCCCGCCCGCTTGTGTTGCAACTAGCTCCCAGGTCTCGACTCCTCTCATGTCTCCCCAAAAGGCATTCACACCCACTCTGAGTTTCTCCGAGTATCTGAGCCCTAGACAAAAGAAGCTGCGAGTCTATCGTTGAATGTCTCAAGCTTCACTCGTCTTGTCTCAAAACGGCATCCGATGCTTGCCTACTCAACTGACTGCTGACAATTGCCCTACGGTGATTATGAGCCTAAGAGTCTAAGAGTCCGACCATCTGAGACGATTCTGAGTTGTTCAACACCACCTTTGACAACCCTTCATTGCAAGACGACCCAAGCCAGCCCAGTCATGCACTGCGTGATGTGACGCGATGCACAGCACAGCACAATAAAGCAAGCAAGCAAACCACATCGCACTTGCACTTGAACCATCTGGATATTGGGCACCCATGACGCATCCACATTCCTCCTTATCCCCTGTTCCCTGACACCTCACGCCTGTACAACCACAACCATCCTCACCCTGGGGCTTTCCTGGTCCGCGCTTGCTAAAGGTATCCTCAACGGAACCACTTCCTCGCCATCGTTCTTGTCTGCCTTTCCTCTCCACCGCTGGAGTAGGTTTTCCTAGGCCCTGGGCAGCTGGGCTGGCATGCCTACCGCTTATCCCTGCCCTCCCAGCCCACGCCATCCCAGCTGCACCTTGGACACGTTTTGGCTCCTCATTTTCTCTCGCGGAAGACGGAATCTAGCCCTGGCTTGCTCTAACGTCACCGTCACCGTCTTTTCGAGAAGACGACAAGGACTCATCAAAAACGATCTCGTCTCATCCATTCCTCCCGCAGCCAGCGGACGGACACAACTCCCAGACGCTATGGATACTTGTTCTCTCCGGCCCACTGCGGCGATCTTGATCCGGAAGGCCCTTCTGTCTCACGCTCATCGAATTTCGACCTGTCATATTCACGTCCAGGCCGGCTCTACGATTCGAGCACTATGGAAACATACGTGTACGAACTACAGAGTACGGTGTATGTCTGTCTATGCCATACACAATCCGTCAAAGAAACCATGACCGCTTTCTGTCTCATGCACCGACAGCTCTTCCATGACAGCACAGCAATGCAGTCGGCGCTTGAACGGATACAAACACGCTTCTGCCTCTGCTTCGCTCTCACTTATCCAACTTGTCGTTCACTGCTGCCCGACACGCCTGCAGCGTCTTATTCCCGCTGTGTCTCATTGAAACATTGCGCAGACTGGAAGAAGACGACCAATGGTCCGTCCCGAAGGCTGGTAGTACCTACAGAGTTCCATAGTCACTGGACTTTTGTCTGGCTTCTGGAGCTTCTCAAAGCAGGGACCTGAGTCGCACATCTCGTGTATCTGCCCCTCTCGAGGTGAATCCGGCAAGCTCCAAAGACCTCCCCAACTGATGATTGCATGCTAGCCCTACAGATACAGGCAAATCCATTCCACGCTCGTAGAAGGCGGTCAGTTGACGTGCAAAGTTTAACCCCCATAACATGCAAGCTAGCAGACCGATGGTCTGTTTAGATCCACACCAGGACGCATGCTGCATCCGCTTCGTGGAAACATATTGCGCGCATCACATCGAGTGTCGGGTGGGTTGAATGGATGAACTTCCTGGCACTCCTGGCAGGTTGACCGTGGCCATGGATGCGATGCTCACCACCTTCTTCTGATCCCGCCCGCTGCATCTTAGGATCCTCGTCCAGGCCATGCCGTGCCATGCCATGCAAGCCCTGCCTCCCGGCCTCCTGGAACACCATTCACGGGCGGCCACGGTCGCTGCTTCTGGATCGATGCCGGACAAAAAACCTCGTTGGGACATGGCAGCGAACATACGCCACAGGAGCGGGTCGCCAGCAGACATGGCCACATCTTGCGTGCATCTCAGCCCACTGTGAACGGGATGCTTCCATTGGTAACGTATCACCGGCGACCTCATCATGGCTAAACAAATCTGCAACGAGTCCGAAGGGGGGTGGCCGGTGATCCAACTTCAACAGCTGGCCTGTTCCGTTGTTTAATGTTGGAGGATGGACGAGGCATGCATAGTTCCAAAGAGGCTACAATCATCGCTCCAGAATCTGATCCTATCTCTCCCTCGCACTCTTTCTCAGCATTCCATTGAGCATTCATTGTCAAACCTGCCTCCATTGTTTCGTTTGCTTCTTCGCTGCAAGAAAAAGCTTCCCCACACCACTATCGATTTCGATGTAATATCCCCTGCAGGCAACCCTACGAACTGAAATAACCAACCATCCTTGACGGCAAGGCTCCCCCCCTCGCATGCTCCCACGCTCCCAAGATGGCCCCAGTGAGCCGACACCGACTATGACCGGCCACCGGGCACAGGCTTCTGCTTCTGCTCCAGCTGCCCGTCACACGGTCACTTGCGGCGACATGGGGAGCGGAGGACTATGTAGGGAAGAGGATCCTAGCTGGGGAATTGAGATTCTCTGGGAAGACCCTCCATCTCACCCTCCATTTGTTCTCTCTCCACACTCAATGGTCTCCCACCCACGCCCTTCCACCGTGTCTCATTTCTTCTTCGTATTATCGTTTAATTTTCTCTCTCTGGGGAGGAACTCATTCTTCACGTCGGCTTTTCTTTTTGGTTTCTTCTGAGCGGCCCACTGCCAGGCTTTCTCCTCTGACAGCCAGGCCAAATGCGCCTTAGGTGCCGAGTTCATAGACACTGAGAGGATCCAGCAGCTTTCGAAGCTGAACGGAGACTGTTATTGGTTGTCTTCCAGCGTGGTCGGCGCAAGTCAGTCATTATATCACGCCCGCGACTGCCAACCCTACCAACGCGACGTGTGATATCAGATCCTTGGCCCCCAGCGACGCACAGCACCACCCGCGGGACGTGTCGTTGTACATGCACCGTGGCCACCTGCATAAGCTCTATGTAAGGCCCCAGAAGGAAGGAAGTGCGACCTGCGGCCCAATATGCGGCCCCTGACACCTCTGTCTATCGCCTACGGTAAGGTGTTCAGGGACAGGCCGAGTACAGAGGTACCTTGGTCTCGTTCCAGATGAGACGAGACGACACTCACATAGCGCTACGAATACTTGACCTAACGGTTCACAGCCTACGAATACCTCAGAGGCTTAGACACCAGGATAGACTAGCAGACCGACGTAGCTGACGAGCAAGAGCCCAGCCAGCCCGCGACAAGAGTACCATGGTGCTTGGTGCGAATCATCGCAAAGAGGCGGTTGCCTCCCGCCGCCAGCAAAGTCACTAACCCGCCTCACCAAATGAGTCGTTCCAAACGAGTGGATAGCCGCAATAATACCACTGTCTTAGCCCTTCCGGGATATTTCGCGCTTCCGCGAAAAACAACGATGCTGTGCTGGTACGCAATCCGGCATGTTCGTTCGGCTCTGCCCTTCTAATCCCAGCTTCTGGAATCTGGCACGCGATGCACCCCTACCAGCCTACCAGTAACCTAGTCGTGGAACACGGGTGTGTGTGCGCGCGCGCGCGAGATCACCTCGCCAGACGAAATCACGTTCGCGAGGGACCTGACTTATGCAGACTGAGTGTACGGAGTACGGAGTACAGATAGTTGTTCTGAGTTACAGAAGTTGCAGCACACGTCTGATGAACGGGGGTTATTGCGACAACGAGACCAGCTCAAACCTGTTTCCGGTCTTACCGCGAGCTACGCGCGCGTATCTTACCGCGAAGCTCCCCGAGCTTTCCGTGACGAGAGTGAGTATCGAATGTCCAGAGCCAACCACGACCTGTGTGATGCGTCACACCAAACTTACATCGGTGATTTGGCGACAGCCGCTTCTGTGACTGGAATGAGATGATGAATGAGAGGCAGTGCAGTACTTCGTACAGACCAATATGGAGACAGCGCAGGCGCATATCAGGGCTAAAGAGGAACCCTACCCTGTCTCGCCGCAAGATTGGCTTCACACCCCGTTGCGAGGCTCAAATTTGATCAACTTCGGAAATGTTACGTCTCGAGACCGCGGGCATGGATATCCCTTCAAAGAGCTTTCAGCCCGCAATGTGCCAGAGCCAAGGGAAGCAACGTCGGGACTGGAATAGCGTACCTCCTTGATTCGAGACGAACGGGCAACGCTCATCTCATCGGACCTTGTTCGCGACATTCGCAGGGAGTATGAACTCGACCGGATGTAACGTCGAGCTGGGAACATGGCCATGCTATCTGGAGGCATTCCCCTGGTTTTCAAGCTTTCATTTACTCGTCGCTTCCGGAGCCGACGCGCGAAACAAGCACCGTGCTGGGCAGGTAGGTTGCGGCATAATTGCAGACTCTGGGCAAAGAAAGAGGGGATAGAGTCTATTGTTATGCCCTTGATAAGATGGCATCGCCAGCACGCCTTTACGAATACTACTAATGTACATCACCGACCAAAAGCTCCGTTATTCGGAGTGGATGCGATGGTGATGGTGTTTGACGGCAAGCAAATCTATCCAATTGGTACCAAGACACTTGCCCCCCAGCAGACCTCCAAAGTTTATCAAGGCCCCTCTGCTCTGTACCAACCAACCGCTTTGGAATAGCTAAGACAGAAAAGTTTGGCGGTCTTTGACGGCGCTACGTTTCGTTCCGTGTTAGTCGTCACAAAGTTTCGACCAATTCGGGGTCCTGGGCTAAAAGAGCCTAAGAGAGGGGCCGGCGAATGTGGGAGACGCAATAATATCAATCACGCGCCCAAATTCTAACATTGCGTCGTGGGAAGTTGCGAGATGAACCCCCACCGAAGGGCCGAAGTTCACGGTTGATGATGATGAGACAAGTGAGACATCTGCAACGACGACAGGAATGGGGGTATCGTTAATTACGATGATCAACTGCCGTCAACGCCTGAACCCAGCCAGGCCAGAGCGCATGTAAGGTGGGATATTGTTTGGGTTGCTGGGCAGATATTACACTGGCATGCTGTTGGTAGCCGAAAGCTGCATTCCGCCACCATTCAGAGTTTCCAAGCGGCATGTAAGTGTGTTGCTGAATGCTTCAGAACACGAACAAGTTCGGTGCTCTACAAGACCAACTCCAGAGCTTGGTAGCCCCCGTCGCTTTGCCAGGTTTTACCCCTTCGTCCAAGCCACCAAAAGCATATATGATGGTAAGATTTCGTTCGACATCGACAGGTCACATCTAATAACACACAGCGCGCGTTCAAAGAGAGAGACAGAGAGGATTGAATGCCTGTTCCCTGCCCGTCTTCACTGTCCGGCCCGTCCCTAGTAATTTGGCTTCCAAACTAGTCAGCAGCAGCGCACATCCAATAGAACCGAACCGCCCACTCGCATGAATTGGCGCGGTATCGTTAGTGCTGTGACGACTCTACTTCTTCTTTGGTTCCCTGACAGGCCGCAGACGCACGCACGAAAAGAAGGAAGAAGAAATTTGAAAGGTGATACTTTTGGAGTGCGCCGACGATCGTGTGGATGGTGCTTCCCTGGCCAAAGACGATCGATGTCGTCTCAAATCTCGCCAACTGGCAAATGAGTTGAGGGGACAGCTACACACGCATCTAATCCTCTTTCTCTTCAGTCATTCTTTCATCCACCCCCTTAGCAAACAAGGGTAGGGGGCCAAAAAGAGAGAGAATGCTACCCTGACGAAGCAAGTTAGGTATGTGATGGCACAAGGCAGGGCGGGTAGGCACGGCGAAGTAAGGTAGGGGAGGGAGGGGGAGCGGAAGCGGATAGCGGATAATACGTGATGTGAGGATGGCATGCGTCTTGCAGCTGCAACTAATAAACGGTTGCTTCACACGGGCCGTGGTTCATGCGCCCAACCCTCTCTCTCACAGAGTCTCAACCGACTTCGACCTCTTCCTGCTCCGTACTCCGTTACCCCCCTGCCTGGCTGGCTGGCTTTGCTGGACAGACCAGACCAAGCTCGGAAACGAAGTTGTCGATAGGTAACGGGAGAGAGAAAGAGGAGAGGCACAGACGCGCGTGATGATCAATGACACGGGCTTTTTTTTGGCCAGCGGGTGACCCGTGTGCCCGCCTCGTGCAGGTTGCTGCTCGTTATGCAGCAAGCCGTTTGGGGTGAGAAGAGAGGCAAGGTGCTTGCTTGGGTTTGCTTGAAGCCTACCTGGTTTGGGGGCTGCCTGGCTGGATGAGTGATACGCGCCTAATGAGAGCTTCGCCATTTCATTAACATTGGCAGCTCCAACGCCAACGTCACTGTCACTGGTGAGTAGCTTGCGACGTCAGGGCGACGGAGCTCTTAACCGATACGACTCTGGAGGCATTCGTGACGAGGAACACCCTTTCTCTCGCACGATGCTCATCACTCCCGGAGCCAGCGCGCCAATCAACCTCTCACTCCAAGGTCAGGCGATTGTATGGACAGCGAACAAAGTATCTTGACAACAAGATGCGCGCAGTTACTGTTTTCGTAAGGCTACATATACATGTCATCGATGGTTCTTTTTTGGTTACTCCCGCCTGAACCCGCATCCGCACCCGAATGAACAGCTGCACGATTCATGAGAGCGCGAAATCCCTCCCCATGAACCGTGAACGAGCCCTCGTTACAACCCCACCCCTCGTTCGGGAAATTTGCAAGAAGGAGACGCTGCTAACTCCCCCCGGGTTGCGGGCGATCATTGATGTCTGATCACCCCCTAAAAAGCCCTTGATGATGATGAAAACATTTCAATCGGGGAGGGGGCCGCACTGCATAGCATACTTACCTACATGAACGGATACCCCGTGAATGATGGAAACTTGTTGGCCTGGACTGGCCCATGAACTCCT